TATAATTAATGTTGACTGATCGGAATAAAGTCTCCACGTGGTTTTAAATCGAAAAAAGCAAAAAAGATGTAAAAGTTTGTATGCACAATATTTGTAGATTATGCAAAAGTTCTGTTGGAACTAGAAGGTAAGCGTAATATATTTTGGATGGATATTAAATTAATTCGGAAATTATACCGATAGCAAAGCGCCTGCATACAGAGAAAAATGATTTCAGTAAATATACAAAAATAGAAAGGGCTATAAAATAAGGATGTGTCTTCTCACAGGACTTTTTAACCATTCCATCGAGGGAATCCTGAGAGAATTAGAAGTCCTAGCAGGATTCATTATTGGCGGCCACAATCCTAACAAAAATTAGATATGCAGATCTAACAATGTTGATATATCAAGAGAAAGTAAACTACAGGAACTGTTACAGAATTTAGTAAAGAAAAATGAGATGAAAGGAGTAAATATCAGATAAAAGATATGGTTGACAGTAAAATGATCGGCCGAAAATGCAGATTTCAAATTATAGATATCTGTTGAAGCTTGGATAAGCATGGAATAATAATAATACAACACAAAATGTACGTAAACAAAATGTATTGAAACAAGAAAAAGGTACACAATATTTACAGTTAGTTTTGGTATATTCTTGGGAAGACGGTTCCTGCAGAATGGGTTGACTTTATCGCAGTCGGGCAGAGTCTCTCGATTCGATCTCTTCTTCCTTCTTCCCTCGTCTTCCCGGTACCAACCCATATTTATATCGTCGGTACTCCACTATGTAAATTAGGTGGATCGTACCACAACAATATCAAAATGAAACAAGTACAAAATTAAAACATCTAGGAAGTGTTTTAACAGAGGACGGAAAATGCGAAATCCGAAGACGTATTGGGATATCGAAAGATACTTTCCAAAAGATTAGTAAAGAAATTAAGAAACAGAAAAAGAAAAAAGTAATTAACTGTTATGAATTAACAGTCTTGCAATATGGCGGTGAAGGCTGGACAATCTCATCACGGGCGAAGAATAGACCTCAGGAAACAGAATTGTGGTTATACAGAAGAATGCTGAGGATAGAAATGAATGAAAATATGAGCAATGGCGACGTTTAAGAGAAAAGGGAAAGAAAAAGGACACTTAAAATTAGAAAGAGATTCTTGAAATTTCTAGGGCACGTAAAAGTGGAGAGGGCTAGGATAATTTGACATCTACAACACGTATGGGATGAAAGAGGGATAGAAGAATGCAGCCAATAATCTAGCTATCGAGCTTGGGTCAATGGTTGGCCGAACTTCATTAAGGGCTACAAAGGACATTAAATTATGGAGGGTAATGATTGCCCATGTCCTGAAGGGACATGGCATATAGTAGTAGTAGTAGTAGTAATAGAAGAAGAAGATGAAGAAGAAGAAGAAGAAGAATGTTCAAAGGTAGAACTCCAATAACGCCAAGAAATACTACTACTTATCGAAAAAATGAATTGCCCTATGTAAAGGAAATAAAAATGAGCTGTAGCATAAAGTGTATAGCGAATATGTTATATAGGAATAAAATGTCGCTGCCAACACTTGAATTTGAACATAGATCGTCAGTAAGCAAACACAGGCGATCCCATTATTGCATTAAAGTAGACCACGTGACCATAGTGAAAACGCATAAGTAGGAAGTTACGTGACATTTAAATGATCTCCATTCTATTCTATCCTCTACTACTATACGGATCTTCATTTCTGTTCTATCCTCTATTACTATACGGACCGCTACTCTCTATTCACTATACTATTTCTCTAGACGGTGTTTA